AAAAAAAAAAAAAAAAAAGTCATCAAAACTGTTCATAAAGTTCAGGTGATGATGAGAAACACCAAATGCAATTCAAAACAGCAGCAACACTATTTCATAAGCTTGGAATAACTACAAAGTGCATGAAAAAAAAAGGCTTAAGACAAAATTACACAAGTTGTTCAGTGAATTACTAATTGAAATGACCAGCGAAATATGTATTTACCAATTCTGGAGAGCGGCAAGGATGCTTAGGATTAGTTCTGTGATTAATTACAGTTGCACAAGCCTAGAATACAGAAAATGGTTTAAACAATCCAGTCTATAAAAAAAAAATCTTGCTACATATATACACAACAACACTTGAATACACAATGTGCTTTCAATTTCAATCATTTTCATAATGGCCAAAAAAAAATAGTTGTAAAATAAAATTCCCGATTCATTCAATGTTTAAACTAAATTTCTTGCATCTACACGTGTCATATATCTAACTAACAATTAACTGAACCATCCAAGATCAGTATTGTTTGAAGTAAATTTTTCTTAAAATTGCATGCATGGTTTATGTAGTTTACATTTAAATGATTCATAAAACAAGTAACTTTTAAAATGAATATCTTTATTGAAACTGTGTGTAAATTTTACTTAATTAACTGATCTATTTAAAACAAGTATCATTTAAACTAAATATTTTTATTAAAGTAACAAGTAGCTTACGATGGTAACTATCACTTAACTGATCCATCCAAAATCCATGTTATAGTCAGAACATATTACCTTATCTAAAGCACCAATGAACTGCTGGTCACCATGAAACACCTCTTTAATGAGCTGTTGAAATTTGTTGTGAACTTCTAATACGGATTCAACAAACATCTGAGGTATCTGTTTGAAAAAACGTGTAATGAATATCATAATCTGCAATAACAATAAACTTTCAACTACTGTATGATAAAGTAGTATATTTACAATTACTGTCTGTGTCAAAATTGGCAATATTATTCACTTAAAGATAACAAACCTCAATTAAAACATTTTGAAAAATAAATGAAATAACTTTTAAATATATAATTTTCTAATAATCCTAGATTACTGAAAACCATCAGAAAAACATTTTGTTGGAGCCAAAAACTAGGTACACAGATGCTGAGTACATTATATCAAAATAATTTTGGAGCCTTACCATGTCATTACTGTCCATGTTGTCACATAAAGTCATGCTCTACCTGAGAACCATGCATTTTGATAACATTCCCACAAAGTTTTCATTGCAAAAAAAACAAAAAAACAGGCTCCATTGTAATGCCATCATGTCCAAAGTACACCACTCCTCCACATCTAGTGTACAAGGATAATGGTTTTCCAGTGCCCACTTCAACAGTCCAATTGCCGAGAAATCAATAGGTGTCACATCTGACAACTTTACCAGTATGTCTTTGTATAATAAAAACTCATTTGCACTTTCAGCTGCTTGAAGCATGCTTGTTTTGTTTTGTTTGTTTTGAATTTCAAGCTAGCCATCCCTAATTTAGCAGTGTAAGACTAGAGGGAAGACAGCTAGTCATCACCACCCACCGCCAACTCTTGGGCTACTTTTTGACCAACGAATAGTGGGATTGACTGTCACATTATAATGCCCCCACGGCTGAAAAAGCGAGCATGTTTGGTGGGACAGGGATTCGACCTCGCGACCCTCAGATTGTGAGTCGAGCGCCCTAACCACCTGGCCATGCTGGGCCTTGAAGCATGCAATGGCTGAATGGATGTTTAACAGAAGCAATTTGTTCACAAGTAAGTTGTACAACTTTTACAGACTGAAATATTTATTATGTTGCTTAGTGCTGCTGGGGATATATGAATGGCTTTTACCACTGACTCTTGTGTTTGTGGATTCTCACTTATTACAAGATGCTATACTTTGTTTACCATGGCTAGTTTATAACTTCTTACACGTCTCTTTCTGGATGGTCTTGGTTCCCCAAGTTGGCCTATATGCACCTTACAAATTCTAAGTCACCAAACTGACACATCTTTATGACTTGAATGTATGAATATTTTGTTGGAAAAAGCAGTTAATTACCCTTCCCAGATGTGATCAATTTTTGGTGGCATTACACTACTTACAAATGTCGATGTCAAAATGTAGTTCTGGTACATTCCATACCACTGCACCTTTATATATCTATTGTTATTGTCATTAGACTTGTTGATTTGTATGTTGAAAATACTTTTAATATAATGTATGCAACCCTCTATAGTTTATAATTATGTTTAATTTTGGCTCATAAATTTTAATTATCTTATGATAGTAAGATATTTTCTAATAATGATGTATTTCAACAAACGTTCATTAGAATATCAGAATTACTGGGATGGTACACATTAAGTCACTAGTACTACAAATGATACATTCAATAAATAACCTTCCCTCTTTGAAGATCCATATGATCCTTTTCTTTTATAGCATCTGGCCTCCAATTAGCTACTTACACTTATAAACCAAATACATACTATCTGTATCAACACTGGCAATATTTTTCATTTAATCACTAATGTATTTGTCATGATGCATAACTTTTCATTTTCAGATACTTGTTTTAAACAGTAAACAGAAAACATCCAGCAACCTGGCTAAACCATAACATGGTTGGTTGTGTCTCAATCTACATTCTCTAAAGTTCAAGAAATATTTGCTCTTAATATACTTTTAACACATATAATTATAGCAATTTTATTGAAATGTTTCATTAAAAATTTTTTTCTAAACTCACTATACAAAATCATATTTGGCAAATAAAACATGTCTTTCAATAACATTATCATTATTATTTAAGCTGGGTCAAAAATTCAAGCATAAACCACTCATCACAGCCTTCAATGAAGCAAAAACATGCATTTCTGATGTTAACTCAGCATATTGTATATATATATTATTTTTTTTTTCAATTTTGCATCTAAACATAATTATAACATAAATTATCATTTAAGAAACACCATCATACACAAAAATAACTGAAAATTCAAACTAAAATTAGAAAAAAATCTTAAACTCTCTATTTCTCTGTTCTCAATACATTTTGAACCATTTTTATTTAACTTGAAATGAATGGATAGTTATTTAATAGTAAATTTACCATTACGAAATTTAAACTTCTAGAATATGTACATATATATATATATATATATATATATGCTACAAATCTAATCTGGTTAAACAATATGTCCAATACCAAATCAACTAATTAGTAAAGAAATTTATTAAAATTATTCAAACTTTTGAAAGTTGTCCAAAATAGTTTTTTTTTTTCTTCCAGAGTAAAGACCAGACTTCTTTGAAAGGTAGGATAATTTTTCCTTCTTTTATTGCATTTCATTTCTTCTCTCTATTTTAATTTACTGAGATAAATTATTTTAATCAACCAAAAAATGTAATGTTTGTGTCCTTGATTTTACTTACTTATTCTGGGCAAATCAGCAATATTGACTTTGTGTTTTAACTACTTCCTTTCACTAAAACAATTTTTCATTTAATATCTAAGACAATAAGATCTTCTTTAAATAAAACCTTTGATGTTACTTAGATCAATGGTAATTGTAGTTCTGTATCAAATACATATATGTGTGTGTGCTGAATACTGCTGGTGAAAGCAACAATAAATTTGAAAATATCTGACCAGCTTGTGATTGCTCATGATTTGTGAAGATTAAGTATTTAACTAGCACATACATGTTACTTCTCTTGGGCAAATACATAAATACCCCTATGAATACTAGGTAATAGTGTGTTAGTGTTAGTTAAAACATAGCATTACTAATTTTTTATCAAATATCAAAACAATAGAAAAACTATTATGAAGAAAAACATCTAATGTTCTGATTGTAAATTATTCACTTTCTTTGTAAACAACTTTTGCTATTAGCAATCAGGCATATACAAGATAGTGATGTATTGAACAAAATTAGATAATCAAACAATGGCACGTTTTTGCTCGTTGTGTGAATTTTAAAAACATAGTTCTTTCTGATATTTAAATCAAACAGTGTGTTCATGAAACATACATATTACTGCATCAGAAAAAATGCAAAGTCACTCATCAAAGAATATTAACTAAAATTAACTTTATTACAGGGTCAGCATCATGCATACTAATGTACCAAATGTATCATGTTTATCTTAGGTCAAAATTATGAATAAATATTTCTAATAACGACATGATCAAACACCCATATTAAATACATTTATTAAACCCTTATGCATTGATAAATATATTAATATTATTCAAGATTGTGTTATTAAGTGTTTACAGCTTATTACATAAATAAATGGATGATGGATAATTCTATCAGAACAACACTACTTTTAAGTGTTATGAGGTCCAGAAGAAAACAAGGATTGTGTTGACTTACATTATCACCTCGAAGGCTGTTGACAGATTCAAGTCCAATCCGTGTTATATGTTGTTGAACTTGTCTAATGAGAGCATCAGGTCCTCCATGTACAGGTTTCAGCAAAGTATACATATTCTGTAGATCTGTATCGATCATAAAAATAAACAAATTTTCACGATCTAAGAGAAATGTACTGCAAAAACAAGAAGTATAATATATTGAATTAGAATAAATTCATATATTTTTATTATCTATATCAAGTAGTTTTAAGGACTTAACCAATTTCAACAGACCATGGAAGCACAGCACAATGACAAGATTGGTTTTTCTACGGTTCAACAGTTATTAGCATCTAATGAGCTCAGAGCTTTCCCTTGATATCACATATCTGTGATGTTCATATTTACTAAATGCCAGAACCAGTTTTTACAATACCTTTTTTCCTCTCTTGCTGCACCATGGCTACACACTCCCCATGTAAAAACTGGAGGTGGTCTGCCACCATTCTTTGTTCACATTCCTCTGTCACACGTGGATAAGAGCTTGGATGAAGAAACTTTCTACTCCTCAAATTTTCAGAATCGAGCCGTTGCAAAACCTTTGATTTCACACATGCACACAAAAAACAAACATTAAACTTATATGACTAATAACTCATTATATATACAAAAAAAAATTTTAGTACTACAGAAACAACTGGATTTACACTGAATTATCAAAAGTATTACGACAGTACATCCAAACTCGAAATCATCTTTTCCAACCTACATTTACATATTTTTTTGACACTGCAAAACAGCAAGTTCTTTATAAAGATATGCAGCAGGTATAGAATCTCAATTCTAATCAAGATGTTGCAAGTTAGAGAGCTGAATGAACTTCAACATAGAATGATTATTAATTGCCAGATGAGGGATACGAGAGTTTGCATCATTTACATCACACTGTGGGTAATATCCTTAGGAGATGGAAGACATCAGATCCTGTCAATGTAGAAATCAGGACAGACAGGCCAAAATTAATGACATATCTAGTCATAAAAACATAAAACATGTGGTAAAGATTAGCTACACATCTGGCACTAACCATATGCATATGAATAGGTCAAAGTGTACGTCATGACCTTTTACAGTTTTATTAAATTTTGAATGTAACAATTTTATTACCAATTTATGTCAATAAACTTGGCATCAAAACAGGGTTTATAATTCAAATGTTTATATTATCTATGTTTTACTTCTTAATTTCAAAAGAAAATATTTAAAAAATTCTCAAACTTCAGTTCTCTCTATCAAACGATATGTGTCTGCTCTGTAACCCCTTCTTTAGATTTTATATCCTCAATAGTACACCTTTCAGGGTGTCCAACCAATGAGAAATAAAAACAACACATAATTACAAGCAACAAGATAAAATTTGAACCTCCTATCTTCTCAACTTGCTGAGATATCTATAAGCTTGTCAAACCCACCAGAGAAGCCTCTCCTATCTGTCCTGCCTTTCGAGACAGTTACATATATCATCTATATGTATTGTTGCATCAGCGAAGTCACGTGACTAGTGTCACACCACGTTTCTAGAAATATCCTGTTCCTTCGGGAGTGCTCTAGCATTTGCTAGATTGGGGGGTGGTCTGGTATATATAAGATGGTCACGGCGTGACGTGATAAAGTGTGTAGG